CTTTATACTCACAACAGCTCCCTCTATTATGGTATCTTTTTCCTCTCTCTCCTCTATTCTTCCCTGACTCCATCTTCTTGTTCTTTCATGTCCTCTCCTCTCCTCCTCTTCTCCCCTTATCTTTCTGCTAACTCTCTCTCCCCTCCCCCCATAAAGTGGAATCCTACTCAGCAGAAAAAAAACCAATTGAATCTTGAAATTCTCAGGCAAATGGATGGAACTAGAAGAAACCATCCTGATTGAGGTAACCCAGTCACAAAAAGACAAACATGATATATACTCACTCTATATGGATTTTAGACATAGAGTAAAGGATTATCAGCCTACAATCCACACAGCCAGAGAAGCTGGTAAACAATGAGGACCCTAAGAGAGACATACATGGTCCCCCAGAGCATTTTCTTAATTAGGGACTGATGGAGGAGGGCTCAACCCATTGTGGGCAGGGTATCCCCTGTGATGGTGGTCCTGGGTGCCATAAGAGAGGAGGATAATCAAAACATGTGAAGCAAGACATTAAGTAGCACCTCTTCATGGCCTCTGCATCAGCTCCTTCCTCCAGTTTCCTGCCCTGCTTCAGTTCCTGTCCTGACTTCCTTCAGTGATGAATGGTGATACAGAAATATAAGACAAATAAACCCCTTCCTCCCCAACTTGCTTTGGTCATGATGTTTCATTGCAGCAATAGAAACCCTGACTAAGACAAATCCTGTATTATTCTTTCCTGCCCTGCTAAGGAGCTCAGAACCTCACAACACAAGTGTAGCATTGCCCTTGGAATCAAAGGTTTACTTCTGTGACATCCTCCATGATATATGCGTTACTTAAGACAGCTTAGCTTATTTGTAAAATTTCAAAAATGCTATAAAGTGTATTTTCGTATGATTACTATGAAAACTAGTCACTTGCATTTTCATTTATTTTATTTGATTATTTTTGCTGAGAACCGAACTCAGTATGCCAAACAAGCATGCCACCATTGAGTCCTTTATATTTTTTGAAAATTAACAGCAACAGTGCACAGTAATTGATATACACACTATTCTGCAATGTTTTACCATATTTCTTGGTTTCTAAGACATATATGCTTATCTTCTCCCACCTTCTCATTTAAAGGAATTCCAGCTTTGGAGGAGATACAGATGTTTCTGTTGAGAGTTTGTTTGGGGGGCTGCCGGATGGAGAGAGTAGCTTACAAAATAAACCCAAATGAATGGATATAAAATTAAATGCCTTAAATATTTGACAATTCCAGACCTGAAAGTTCTCTGTATAAATCTTCCATTCTTTTATTTTCTCCTGACATTGGTTGGAGTTTTTCTCTCTGTACTTGACTAGGGAAACAAATAAACCAATTAGCATCTTCATTATCAACAGCTCAAGCATATTCAGTGACATTTCAAAACCTCCTGTCAAATGCTGTGGTTTATATCAAACACAGTGGGTTTGCATCAAATAGTATATCTTGATTTTAGACACAGGGGTCTGAATGAGACTTGTATTTTGTTGCTTACCAAAGAGAAAAGTTCCACTCTGTAAGATGAGCTACTTCCACGTTTTTCCACTACTCTATGGCCAGGGCTTGTCACCTCTAAGCTCTTTTATTTCTGTAAGATCACCCAAGTTATAAAGGAAAGAAAAGGAGGAGAAGTGAGAGGGGGAGGGAAAAAGGAGACAGCTAAATAATGTTTCTTATCAGTAAACTATTTACTCAGTCAACATTACAGAGAGTTTCACCTTATTCTGATAAGTATTTTCTTAAAGACTGTAACTTAAATTCACAACAGAATTACAGTGAGTACAAGTGATGACCCCTTCTCTTCCTGTGACCCTGAGTCTTCCTTGTACAAATAAAAATTAAGTTCTATCTACTCTTATGCTTGACTAGGAGGGAGAGAACAATTGGTTGTACACAGCTCATCAAACCCATCACTTTTCCTTGGTTCTCTGGGCAAGATTTTCCCCCTCTCTGTCTTCCCTGCCAAGAGCTTGCTAAGAGAGCTCTGGTTGTATCAGACACATGCTGAACTATTGCCTGTTTCAGGTCTTCCTAACCCAAGACAAATGGTGTAGCACTCTGGTGTTCTCATAGTGCTTTAACCACAGCAGGTACCTCTTCCTGTGATTCCCAAAGGAAAGGCACTATTTAACAGGCACAGTTTTATATAGTTCCACACTCCCTGTCTCATTTACTTATCTCTGATTATTTCCTAGAACATTCACTTTAATTTATATAACCCCAATCCTGATTCTTACTAGCTTGGTAGTGCTTTCTACTTGAGTGTTACTCTGATCCATTATGTTTGCCCTTGTCTCCCCTGGCACTGACTTTGAATTAGATGTACTGAAATAAATCTATCAGTGACCAGTGACGTCCTCCCCATTTGCCACATCTAAGAACTGACCCATTGTCATCTGATTGTATTCTTGGAGATCTCTCTTTTCTAGGCTAGTCCCCAGTAATCTCTTTACAGTGGTACTGAAAGTGTTATCATGGCTAAGGAGAGCTTCCACAGTATCCTTTAGTATCAATAAGACTATACAGACTTTGGTAATTCATTAACCATGGAACTGAGTATATAGAAAATAAGCAAAAATATGGACAATAGGTTATCTGAATGGCAAGGAGATACTCCTGAGATACAAAAACTAAAATTCCATTGGAACCCAGCAATGTCACTATAACAAAAGAAGCTGAGGGTGACCAGATTATCTTTCTTAGTGAACAGTTGCTATGTATTTCTTCATCAAAAAGATCCTGGTTGGAAAAGCATTTATTCATCGTGAGGTTTCATTTGGCTGTTTGAACGTACACACACAAACACATTTTGTAGAACATAATTGTTTTTTCTCCAGAGATATGGAGCCTTTGATGTCCTGGGAGAGGGTGGGCAAGAGCTGCCTTTAGCTAGCTTCTTTGTTTAGCATGCTGTCCTCCCATCCACCCCCTACCCTGCACAGTAGATTCTGCAGGGGCACCTGGCAATACATAAGGGCCCGGATGCCAGTATTGCAGCTGGGGTTTGAATTCCAACTTTGCCACATTCCTACTGCATTGTGTTTCCTAAGTGAGAGCCTCCATGTTTGCTATTTACAAAATAACAGAAACTGCTTTGGGTAATTTTGTGAGAAAGAGATATAAAACACCAGATTAAAATATTCAAACAGGCCTGTAATTCACTATATATGTAATTTTAGTCACTTTTTTCTTTGCATAAAAGCTGACCACATTTATGAACTAAAGGGACAGACACAGAGAGGTTGCAGAGTGACATATTCTTCCACTCTCTTCTGACATCTACAAATTGTGAGGTCTCCATGGAGCTGATCCCAGGAGTCAGAAGTTTCTTATGTAAACTGCAGGCTATTTTACCTTTTCTCAAATGCTTTTAAATGAGGTACTAAATTGCAATTGATGTCTGCTTCATGCCATTGTCTTTTTTATCTTTCTCTTGGTGGAAGAAGGAAGTAATAAAATTAATAAGAAAACATCTCTACAGGAAGCTGTGAACATTGGTGGTTAGTTGAAATGTAGTTCTGAGCTAGTGTGCCAGGACAGGCGAGTCCTGGCTTTGGAAGTTCTCTCTCCTCTTCAATGCTGTTGAGTATCTCCATGCTGGACAACCCTTTGGAAGTAGAATGAGTGATTAGGAATAGTGACTTTCTTGCCCTTATTGACAGAGAGAACCTCCAAAGAGTCAAAGCCAGGAGGGGCTTTGCATGGGAGTATGTGTTTGTCCCTTTACATGTGCAAGAGATCAAGACCAAAACCTCAGCTTCTGCATGCATGCTCCTGGTTGGACACTATGTTAAGTTTGACCATAACTCAGTCACTGAACCACTGAAAATAGAGACATTAGCCTTGGGCAGAGAGAGGACTGACATAAAATGGCTGAATGAAATAAAAGGGTGAAGTCATAATGACTGGCATACATTAAGTAGTGCTCACTATGCTCAGCAGAGCCATTATTAATCTCCTTAGAGATAAGTACATTTAGATATGAGAATAATGTCTATGTGGCCGTGTGGGAGGCATCTATGTCTGTCTCTGTTCTTCCAAAGGACAATGAAGAATGCTTGAAAAGCTTTGCTTTGCACCTCTTACATGAAGGTATCAGATGTTCCCCTACCACCTGGGCACAACAGAAGGATCTAGAACAATGTTTGTGAGGTGTGGCTGACCTCCTCTGTATGTTCTGGCTGCCTCATAACAAAGACTCTCACAGGCATTGACAGGAGTTCACTCTAACTTACCAGATTGTGAGATGTCATGGAAAAGGAACTGGTCTCATTACAAACTTTATTCCTTACTACCTTCACAATGTTGGGCCATTCTGCCTCTGGGAATCCCTACGTTTTCATCTTAAGACACTGATAGTACCTGAATGTTTATTCACATTACAGCTTTGCAGAATGAGGGAGAGATGAGAGGAGATGAGATGTGTGTGTGTGTGTGTGTGTGTGTGTGTGTGTGTGAGAGAGAGAGAGAGAGAGAGAGAGAGAGAGAGAGAGAGAGAGAGTGCAGCACTTACTTAGTCTTTGTGCATTATGGTCCTACTGTATGCCAGACATTTTACTAGTCTCTATGGGGTGACATTAGAGAAGCAGCCATTGTCTCTTGGAATTTATAATTACAGGAATATTATAAATTTGACAGAAGAATATGAATTTCCATTTCCCTTTCATATCTTTGTATAGAGATGTTTTATAATTTTTGGAGTCCTTAGTTTCTCAATGCCTGTACTCTGCTTCACAGGTAAATTTCAAGTTCAATGTGCCTCAGGCAAGTCTATTATTTTTAAGCCAGGAAGTGTGGTGAGGTACTTTCAAGCTTGAGGAAGTTCTAAGGTGGGAGGAACACAGGAACATTACAAAGAAGTTCTTTTGTGGGAACAGTTGGGGAGCTGCCAATTTTCTGGTCAGAAGGAATTAGCCTTTATTTAGTGAAGGAAGTGAGGTTTTCCATCACAAAAGCCAAAGGAGATCTGGCTCCTCAGGTTTGCGTCCTAACATAACTTCTCTTTCACTCAAATGCAGCTAGCATGAGGCCTAATCATGAAGACCCTCCTCATCAAGGAAAAAAGTGGTTTGTGTCATAGGCAGAGATGGTACAGGGCATGAACACTAACCTGATATATTAAGTACTGCTTTATTTCATATCCTGGACTAGTGTATACAGGTAAGTTCTTACTCCTTTCCCTTTCTGCCTCTGTGTTTCCCAGGATTCACTACAGTTAGGCCATGTGACAGGGTTTTGACCAATGGAATGTCTGAAGGGGACTAACTCAATGTCTGAAAACCTTCTCAATGCCAGCACCTGTCTGTATCCACTGGGGTGTAGCAGGAAGCAAGCTCAAGAAAAATACCTGCTCCTGTGAAGTTTGTGTATCCAGACATTTCAGAAAGAAAATGTGGAAGTGTCGAGACAACTGTTTATAAAGTTTGGGCACACTTTAGAGTGTGGAAATCATCTAAAGCATAACGTCCATGCATAGTGACATGGCATCATTTGGCTTTGCAGTTTCTCCCAAAGGAGACCTGTGGTTTGACCTTTGTCCCCAGGTTAATGCTAATGACAGATGAGGAAGGGGAAATTTTATATGAGGTGGATCCTGTTGCAATATCTTTCGGTGGCTGGGGATTTTCCTCTGAAGGGGCCTGTGGGAAGTGGTTCTTTTCTCTTGTTCTCGTAACACCTCCTTACTCTGTCACATGCTCTCTAACATAACCCAGTGCTTTTCCACAGGCCCAAAGGCATCAGGACCAGCCAGAGGCTGACTAGAATTCTCCAAAATGTTAACCTAAATACAAATCTTTTCTCTTTACAAATTGTTTATCTCTGATATTTATTATAGGGGAAGAAATATAATCTATGCATGAATTCTTCCTGAGATTTGGGCCTCATGCAAACGACCAGCAAAGCTGCAGGAGGAGCACTTCTTCATCTTCCCATGGAGTGTAAGGATGCTATTAGTGAAATTTTAGCACTTAATTGCCCTCCTGTGTTTCAGTCTCACTGTGATCCAATTCCTTTTTACTGCCATGCCTTCCTTTGGAATGTGAACATTGATCTATTTCCTATCTTATCATCATATCTTGGAAATAAGCAATTCAAGGCTTCAGTGGTGGGACTGGTACACCAAACCAGACACAAACCTTCAACCTATAATTTGTTCTGCATGCCCGATGTTTTGGGGTAATTGTAGTGCAGAATATTTGAGAGAGGTCAACCAATGTCTGTTTTAGCTTGAGAACCATGCCGAAAGAGTAAGGTTGACACTGTCTGGAGGGTCAGGAACCAGAGGCTGGATAGCTCAGAGATCTAGGACAGAGCTAAACATGACCAGCAAAAAGGAAAAAAAAGTCAATGAAATGATTCCTAATGATGTTCTTTTCTACTCGTAGATCAAGGAGGCTTCCTCCAGAAACTGATGAAAGCAGATGCAAAGAACAACAGCCAAACATAAGGAGGAGCTCCAGGAACCTGAGAAAGAGGGGGAGGAAGGACTGTGGGAAACTGAGAGGTCAAGGACACCAGAAGCAGGACTCAAAGGGGCTCAAAGAGAACTGAAGTGACAATCACAGAGCCTGTACAGGTCTGACCTAGGCCCTATACATATACGTCATGGTTGTGTGGTTTGGTATCATGGGAGTCTTTTAACAGTGGGAGTTGGGGATGTCTCTGGCTCTTTTGCCCCTCTTGGGACTCTTTTCCTCCTACTGGGTTGTTTCATCCAGCCTTGATGTGAAGGTTTGTCCCTAATTATACTTTAACTTTTTATGCAGTGGTCGATTGATATCCCTAGGAATTCTGCTATTTTCTGAAAGGAAACAGAGGAGGGGTGGATCTAGGGGAAAAGGGAGGTAAGCTCTTTGAAGGGGAGTACATATAGAATGTAATATGTGAGAGAGGATTAAATAAAAGAAAGACAAAATAAGCAGCTCTCTTTTGCTTTTATAGCCAATTACATTTGAGGCTGATGAGTCTCGGAGACTTTATATTTGGATTTAAGAGGAGCACTAGAGTACTCATTATTTAGTGACCCTGTGGATGGACTGAATACATTTTGCATAAAGAGAAGGATAGAACAAATTCTTTTCTACAAATTCTACAAATTCTACAGTTTGGCCTTCGAATGTCTACCCAAAGTCCACACATCACAGGTTTGGTCTCTATCTTAGGGAGCTGAGACGTGAGGTAATGAGAAAAATGAAGCAGTAACCTGTAAGAGATCTCAAAGTCATGGCCTTGGAATAAAAGAGGCTGGTCCTTCCTCTTCCTCAGTCTGTTTTTCCTGGCTGTAGAAGTTCTCTTCTGCCATGACTTCTTGCTATGAGGTACTGCCTTACAAAAGGCTCAAAGCAATGGAACAGCTCGTCATGGCCTGAAATGTGAGCCCAAATAGACATTTCTCCTTATAAGGTGATTATCTTAGGTGAGAAAAGTAGGTCAGTGCTTAAGGGCACTTGCTGCTCTTGCACATGGCATTTGTTTAGTTCCTAGCATTCACATCAGGGGCTCATACTCTCCTGTACCTGCCGTTCCAGAGGATGCTACAGTCTCATCTGGTCTCCACAGGCCCTGCACAAATGCTCATAAAGACACACACAAACACACACACACACATACACACACAATTCAAAAGAAGTGATTATGTCCATAACCAATATAATCACAGAAAATGACCAAATTTCTCAAGCATTTCAGGTTTTGGATTTGTATAAAATGCAAAGATATCTGCTAGGCCAAAAAGTGAATAGGTAACACCTAGAAGTAGCTGGAGAATAGTTTTTGAAGAATTGTCCATGAAGGCCTAGAGAAAATGAAATCTGAGTAAAGAGGAGCTTGAGTTACTAGAAACAATGAGATATACAAGAAAAGAGCAACACATGGTGTTCAGGGAGCACCAGATTAGTATGGTGGAGAAGGGAGACTGTCTCAGTGGGATCATTTGAGAGGTAACAGGAATTGGGTCAACTGAGACTGTCAGGCTGTTATTTTGCAGGATGAGGGGAGCTAGTATCGAGCAGTGAGGTGCTCCCATTACTGCTAGATTGATAATCCCTTGAAAGGGACTTGGGCTCCTTCAGAAGATTAGGAAGACAGCCATAGCAGCTGCTGCAGGGGTTCAGTTAAGAAATAGGTCGACTTTGGGCAGGTGGTAGAGCACCAGTGAGAAATGTACTGAGAGTATGGATATCTACTCAGTGTGTAAGCAAAAGCTTTGCTATGGATAGTCAACTTTCTGGGAGCAGGCATGGACCTGGAGGCCTCTGAGTTGAGAAAGTGAATAGGAGATGCTTCAGAGTTACAGAGACTTAAAGTTTGAAATGTTTGAATTCCCAAATGGATTGGGCATGTGTAGCACATATATGGAGGAGAGATGCCAATTAAGTTTACACAGTGAAGTCACAGGCAATGTGTGCAGTCCTGGGGATAATGGGGTCACCTTGCTTATCTTTCTGCAGACATAGTGTTTGAACAGCAAGTGCAGTGACTGGGAGGAAGCAAGTTCACCTGGAGGACAGAGGGTTTATCAACCCAGAATGTCCTGGGGCAGCTTCCTATTGGGGAAATTTATGGGACTTCTAACCAGGTCCCAAAGAATTTAAAAGAAAGAGGAACAAGAAAAGAAAGACACTCTTTAGGGGGTTTTTACTAATTAAAAAATAAAAGGAGGGATAAATTATTTACTAGATGACTGGATAACCACAGGCTCCCTGAAGAGTGACTCACAAGGATGTTGGAAGGCACACCTTCTTGATAACCGGGTGAATGATGGCAGGCATGAACCCTCTGATGATTCATCCACTTACACTAATCTTGGGTGGGAACCCTGGAGCTGCCCTGATGACAGACTCAGTTCTAAGGCAACTTCAATAAAATTAAGCAGGTGCCTTTTATTTGTTGAAAACTGTCCCATACTTGAAATAATCACACACAGCTCAATAAAAAGCATGCATAGATCAGGTGATGAGTGAATTCAAGAAAGTGCTGGAATGTGTAGACAGGAATGCTAAAGCTTAGGGAAAATCAGAGTGCACTGATTTGCAATTTTGAACTTGACTTAGTAATCTTGAGAAAAGAGATCTCAATTGCTTCAAACTTTCAACTCGCTGGAAATATGGACTGCAGTGTAGGTATGCCCAATGCCAATAAAATGCTTTTAAGTAGGATTATTTTTGTAAACAACTGTGTACATGAAGCAAATTGTATCATTTCTCTAGTTGTAGTTGAATGAACTCAATTTCCCAATCATGTCCTGAGGGACCACCTTTAAGGAATAGGCTAAGTGGCACAGCACCCAGCTTGACTGACTGACTTCCACCCACAGCATGGGGTCTCAATAAAACTCACCTAGTAGAGCTCATTCCATATGGAGAGATACCTTGCCCAGCCTAGACACAAGGGCATGGGGGTGGGGAGGTATCATGACCCTGCCTCAACTAGACGAAGGGACAGACAGAGTAGACTTCCTAGAGGAGGCCTTATGGTCTCTGTGGAACAGATGGGAGTTGGGGGAAAGTGGGAGGAGTGGGAAGAAAGGAGAGAGGGGGAACAGGGATTGGAATGTAAAAAATAGATTAATAATAATAATAATAATAAAGAACCATCTAGCGGCATGTAATGAAGACTTCATGCAGGAAGTAGTGTTGGGATTAAATCAAGCTTGAGGAATGAAACCACATTGGGAGGTATTAGAAGTTTGCCGAACTTTAGTCATATTAATTATAGTGCTTTGATGACTTAACTGTAGTAATCTATGAATGCTTTGATTATCGGATGTTTGTAATTAATGTTATGCTCTATTCTTTTACATTGACTACAGCAGTTCTTGTTTTATTAAAATATAATTAATAAAATTGTATCCTCTAATGTATTTTAGTGTGTCAACAAGGCAGAGTCAGTGTAATGTGGTTTTAGAACAAGTTTTCCTATTGAAAAGAAGGCTCATACCTGTTATGTAAGTACTCCAATAAAACACACACACACCACACACACACACACACACACCCACCACTAACTGCCTATTTGAATGATAACTTCATAATAACTTAGAAAGATGTCAAGTTATTTTACAAAATGGCTGCCTTTGTTTTGCCACCAGAAGTGTGTGGGTGTGGGGGGTGGTTGGGCTTCTGTTGTCAATTTTTTATCTGTACTTGCAGTCTTCTGGGCTTGTTTCTTTTCTTGATTAAACCTATCAGTTGCTTGGAAATTGAATTTTTTTGTTTTTATTTGTATCTTTAATTAGTTAGGAAATTAAGAATCTTTTTGTCTGCCTATTAGCTCTTTGTATATATTTTTTGGAGAGAAGCATATTTAAATCCTTTCATATATTTGAATTAATTTATCTTTTTATTGTTGAGGTTCTTCATATAGTCTACATTAAAAGTTCATTTTCATATATACTGTTTGATTAATATTTTCTCATTCTGGGTGTTGTTTATTCCCCTCCCAGATGAGCTTGTCACATACAAGTTTTACTCTTATACCAACTTCTCTTCTCTCTTTTTCTCTCACTCTCTCACAATTTTCCCCTCCCCCCATACGGCCTTGTATGTGTGAATTGGTATTATATTATTTATAAGAAGTATAGTCACATATAATATCAAGAAGATTCGATTTAAAGCTGCTTTTATGATAATTTTATAATATTTGTTCTTCCATTAAGATTTATAATACATTTTGAGTTACTTTTTGTACAAAGGGAAGTAGGGTGCTGATTTCATTCTATTCTGTCTTCTAGCATGATTTGTTAAAAATTTCACCATTGAATTTTAATGGCACACTTTTTAAAAAATAAATTGAGCATAAATATAAGGATTTATTTCTTGCCTCTGAATTCCATTCTATTTCCTTAAATGTTTACCTTAGTGCAAGCAATATACTGTTTTGCTTACTTTCATTTGGTATGAGGTTTTAAATATATATGAATGTCAAACTTTCCAATTTGATCTTTTATTTTTTATGACTAAAGATAGTGTTTGTGGTCTCATATAAACTTTAGAATGATCTAACAATTCAGGGAAAAACAGAAAGATATCTGACAGTTTAATTAAAAGTATAGTAAATAGGATGACCAATTAGAGAATGTTGCAATGTCAACCATGTTTAGTTTCTACCCACAGCAAGGGAGATATTTACTTTTAATCTCTATTGAGATGATATTTTGGGACCTTATGTTTGTGCCTGAATCCTCTGTGTGTGTGTGTGTGTGTGTGTGTGTGTGTGTTTGTCTATTCATTTGTGTGTGCATGTGTGTATATATATGTGTGTACAGAAAGTGTTTCCTTTTTTTCTGTATGTTAAATACCAGGGTACAGTCTCTTGCCATTGTTTTTCAAGTTCTGTCAACCTGGTTTTTTGAAATGCCTGTTTCTATTTCCTTAAAACTAGCATCATAGGTGTGCTGTTGCATTAAGCTTCTTGTACACGGTTTCTGGTATTCAAACTTGGAACCCCATCCTTGCAAGATAAATAGTTGAGCTATCCCTGCAGCCCTGGACTTGAGTTTTTAAGGACATTATTTTTTATTTTGCAGAAAACTAAATTATTTTCTTTTTTATTTGCATTCTTTTTTATTATTTATTATTTATTTTAATTTTAAATAGCTTGTTTTACATGTCAATCCCAGTTCCCTCTCCCTCCCCTCCTCCGGCACCCCCCATCATCCCCCCCCATCCTCCCACCCTATTGCCAATTCCTTCCACATAGGGGATATCTAGAGTCTATCATTTCATTCAGGGTAGGGTCCAGGCACTTTCCTAAGAGTCCAAGCAGAGAGAGCAACCCTCTATGTGTTGTGGACACACGATGTCTGTTAGTATTCCAGGGATAAACACTGATCCACTGCTCTGGGCCCCATAGGTAGCCCAGGTCTCCTCATTGACTCTCACATTCAGAGGGTCTGGATGGGTCCCATGCTGGCCTCCCAGCTGTCGTTCTGGGGTCCAAGAGCTCTCCCCTGTTCGGATCAGCTGTCTCTGCTGGTTTTGCCAGCCCATTCTTTGCTAATTTGCTCTTCGCTCCTCTCTCTCTGTCTCTGGGTTCCTTGGGTTCTGTTCAGTATTTAACTGTGGGTGTTTGCCTCTGCTTCCATCAGTCACTGTATGAAGGCTCCAGAATGGTTAAAGACATCAAGTTCACTATCAGGAATAGGCATTCGAGGTGGTCTCTACACTATTGCTTAGATGACACCAACTGAATTATTTTCTTAATTTTACTTTTGGAATGGTCATTATTAATGTATTGTATATGATTAACATTTCTACACTGTATCTAGCAACTATGATGAACTACTATATTATTTCTAATTATGTTTTAGTGGTTTTTTAAGCAATTTCTCAATGCAAGATTGTGCAAATAAAGATAGCTTTATAATTTCCTTCCTGATGTGATCGACTTGTTTCATTTATTTGATTAATTGCTTTGTTTATAAACTCCAGAACAATGTTGAATACAGCAGATAGAAATGGATGTACATTTCTGGATCTTGGTCCCAGTCTTAAAGGGAAGGTTTTCATAAGACCAGTGTGAGCTCAAGCCAGACAAAAATCTCAGCATGAACAGGAAAAGTGGGCACACAGTTTCGTCCCCAGCTGAGGTGCCATTCATGAAAGATAGAAGATGGGAGAGAGTCAGTTTTCTTCAAGGGTTTGACTCCTACTTGATCAATTAAGTTCCAAGGAAAAGTCCCACATCTCACATGGGCAGTACATGGACAGTACAAATTTGACTTTATGGGCTCAAAAAGAAAGAGGATGCAAAATTGGGTCGACAGGTCAGGGGATGAATCTGGAAGGGATTGGGAAGGAGAGTGAGTATATGAAGATACAATGTACAGAATTTTCAAGGAAGTAATAAAAATTCAAAAAAGCAGAGGGGGCTAAGTGTTTCTCAAGAAGGACAGTGTTAAACTTGAATGTCTTTCAGCAATTTGGGAAAAATCCTTTTTGTGCCTAACATATCATGTTTATCATGAAAAGCATGGGAAATTTTCAGTATTATTATACATATTGAAATGACTGTATTTCTCTCTGTGTTTTATTATATACCTGATGTTTTTTTTCTTTTACTTTGCTTTCTTTCTGTCTTTCTGTTTTATTTTTGTTTTTTCTTTTAGCTCTCTAATCAAACACACACCACTGGGATCAGTACAAGGCATGGGTAACTTTTTAAAAATGCTACTTGATTTGTTGTATAGAATATTGCTGAATATCTTTCTGTCCATGTCTACAGGTATAATTCTGTTTTCCTGTGATGCTGTTACCTGTTTTGGTACTAGGGTTATATTGACTTCATGAAATCAACAACAAGCTCACTTTTCTTCTATTTAGTGGAAGTTTGTGAACAAATGTTTAAAATTTCTAAAATGTTAAATGAAAGTAAAATGATTTCAAATGGGACTAAGGCCTCCTTTAAGGGAAAAATCATAATATTACTAATTTAATCTGTCTCTGTGTCCTATCAGCCCTCTTTCTTTATCACTATTTGCAGTGATCTGTATCTCACAATGTATAGTTGTTTCTTTCATCTAAATTAGCAAATTAGTTTATACAAATTTTTATGTTCCTGTGATATTTTTATTAAGTCTGTGTAATAATGTTTTTGTTTGTCCCTGAAGTCAATTATTTCTCCTATGCTATAAAATTTCAGTTTAGTTCTCAACTTTGATTAAATATCTTGATTGGATGTTTCCTCATTCACACTGTGTTGTTTGGATAAGTTAAACAATTTTCAAATGTTTTAAAATAATAAAGTACTTAAGATATTCCTTTGCTGGGGAGATAGCTCGTATTCTTTAACTTTTCTGTTCCTTCCATGGGTTCTGACAAATAACTGAGAATCCTATAAAAGCCATGAATTTTATCCCCAGAGAAAGATCTAATTGCAAAAGCTAATTTTCATAAAAGTTCAAGGAAGTTCATTAGCCTTACTGAATTTTAGGAAAATTAGATTAAGAATTCTTTCAGATACTGGCATCTCATGTTACTAGAGGGCTTATAAAAGAAGAGTGGGGTCTGTAGATAGTCATAAATCCCAACTGTCTTGTACTAGATTTCATGAGGCAAAATGGAAATCAGAGTCTCTGTCTGACATCATCAATAAGCAAGATGTCTTCAAGTCTTTTGTAATCACTAGTAGTGTAACAATTGTTTGCAGTAAAGGCTTTCTTAACACACTAATGGCTGAGATATATCCTGTCCTTTGCATTTTCTAGGATCAGTGGTTTCAAGAAAATCTGTGATTCCCAGTGTAGACTAGATAAAGTCTCCAATGTTTGTCTTTTTCTTTTTCATTTTATTTATTTATTTAAAATTAGAAAAAAGCTTGCTTCACAAGTCAATCCCTGCTCCCTCTCCCACCCCTCCTCTCCAGCCTCCCACCAGCCCCCTAACCCACACCCCATTTCTCCTCCAGCTCCCCAAGGATGGGGAGGCCCTCTATGGGGGAACCCAAAATCTGTCATATCACCTTGGGCAGGGCTAGGCCCTCCTCTATATGTCCTGGCTGAGAGAGCATCCCTCCAAGTGGAATGGGCTTCCCAAGTCCATTTGTACACCTGGGAAGAATAATGATCTACTACCTGGGGACCCATAGATTGGAGGCTTCCTCAATGACACCCACGAAAGCACTCTTATTTACATAACAATCTCCCCATTCTCTTGCCCTCCAGTCCTCCCATGCTCCCCTTTGACCTCGGCCTCCCCAACCCACCCCCACCCACTCACCAAGGATAGTAAGGTCAGTCAAGCTCTTCTCAGTAAGCACTGTGAATACACCTGATACTTTCTTTAGATGTTGTGCACACTAATTTTGTTGTTAGCTCAACACAAAGTATGGTCTTCTAGGAAGAGGGAACTTTAGTTGAGAAGAAAAAAAACTTTATTAACCTCTATTAGACTGGTCCATAGGCAAGTATTTGGGCCTTTTCTTGTTTAATGATTGATGTGAGAGGGCCCAGCCAAATATGGTTGGTTATACCTTAGGCATAAGGTATAAGAAAGGCAGCTGAACATAAGGGGCAAATCGGTAGGCAGCATTCCTCGATAGCTTGTGCTTTGGTTTTAGCTCCAGGCTCTGCCTTTATTCCTTGCCCTAACTTCCTTTTATCATAGACTAACTGAGACACATAAACTAACTGAACCCTTTCATCCCCAAGTTGCTTT